CAGAGTTAATTTAGTGATAGATTTTGGACTTGTAGCAGTTTAGCTGAGAGGAAAAAAAATGCTCTAAATGGCTAAAATGGCTAAACATGCTGCATCTAACAAAAAAAGCTTTCTTTAATGAGTCTAATTATATTGTAAATGTTGAGGATTAGGGTGAGAAGTGAGGTTAGTTTGGAAGAATACAGTTTGAGCAAACTGCAATGAATATTTAATTTGGAAGTGATAGTTTTACAATTAGTTGACTTTTATTCCTATTTTCTGGGAAAAATGAGTAGCATTTTATGAAGAAAAATGAAACATATTTGCATGGAASAAAGCAGAAAAGAAAAAAAAACACGTTGGCAGTAATTAGTGCTCGTGGTATTGAGCGGGTCTTTGGAGGCTATTGAATTTGCCTGTCAGTGCTCGGGAACAGCTCCGAGAGGCAGCACCGCTTCTGCGGGGCGCTTTATTCGGGTCACAAGGCAGTGTTTCTCACCAGGGCGCTGCTGTTTCCTCTTCCGACTGTAGTAGGTTACAGATGATACTGGAACATGTCTGAGAAAAGGTCAGAAGAGAGGGTGAAAGTCTTGGAACTGGAGCTGGGAAGCTTTTTATTCTCGTCTGTGAGACTTGGTGTGTTGAATAAAAAAGAAAACAAAATAAACCGCCGTATATACAACACTTCTATTTTCCCTGGCATTTGCTATTTTCCAGTTAGGGTTATATTTCTCCTACATTATATAATTAGTGACTGTTTAGTGGAGTTATCTTCAGCATTCGGCTGGACAGAAGTAATGGCTAAACCAAATTCATTTTCCCTGAAGGCAGCCTCCTGGTGACTGCATAGCCTCAAGTTCCTCTGCTTTTATGTACCAAATTAAAGATGTTTATATGTAGTGTTAATGTCATTAAAATATGTGCTACGCTTTGAAACCTACTCTGTTAAGTTCTGTGAGATATAAAGGCTAATCAAATGGTTTTGAATTTTAATGATGGTCACTATTAATCAGGCTTTTATTATAGGAGAGTAATAGAATAATGAAAACAAGAAAAAAAGTCCCCACAAACTTGTTACTGTGCAGCTGAGAGGTGCTCAGTGCTGCTTATCTCAAGGGTATGSAGAAACCAAAACACGATTGTTGCTTTCCTGCTAGGAAACCCTTGGCCTTGCTTCATGACCAGGTGGAATTTTGCAACGCAGGAATCCTGCAGCACTGCAAAGTGGAGGCAGTACCTGCACATATGTTTGAAACTGCTGGGGAAATTTAATGGGTAAAAATTACGTAATTTCACTGTAATTTGGTGTGTGTCCTCACAAGGCTAAAGAGGGTAGCTTGGGTTTTATAGCCTCCGAATTTCCTCTAATAGAGCTGACGTGGTTGAGGCTACTGTCYACATGTGAGGCTATGTCCCCCAGTAAGACATACTGCAGTTGGACTTGAATGAGGAAACAAGTAATTCAGTTGTTTTAATGTGCTGCTGTGCACGTACCAAAGAGAAGAGCAGAGCTACACAAGGACACTTTGAGGAACTAATCTAGTATTTTTACATAACCTTGTTGCACGTGCAGTGCTAATACAGAGCTCGTTGGTGCTAACGTGAGTTCACCAGCAGTGCTGTGTTTTGTCGTTCTTGTCATTAATAGCAGCCAAAATCAGGGTGACTTTCTCCCTCTCTGATGGTCTGTGGTGGTTGGGTGCTCTGCAGTGCTCCTCTGCATGCTGACCAGGCTGAGACCTGGCCTGGCCTCCTTGAGGCTTGTAGTTGATCAGAAGAGGACAGGTTTACTGTATTAATTACTTTGGATTGAATGTTTTTTAACAAGTGTTACAAATGGTATTTCTAGTACGTTTTCCCCTGAGCATAGCCTTCCTTTCAAAAATCTATTTATGAAAATGAAAGAAATGTGTGATTTGATCAAATGTCTGAAGCTCACATTCATGTCTTTGAGAGTTTCACACTTCCCAAAATGACTGGGGGCAAACTACTCTGTGATGCCAAGGTAAAATTTGTAGCCATCAATGATGGAATATCACAGTGTCCAAGGAACCTAGGTAAGGGTCAGGTAGCCTGAAATTGGAGCTTGTTGCGGCTCGAGGAAGTCGAGGAAGGAAGGTGGTGGCGAGGGGCTGGGGAGCGGAACGGCCGCAGCTCCGCGAGGCCTCACCTACGGGCAGCTACTGATGGCTTTTCCACAAATGTCCAGCTTTGTCAAAAAGCAGTAAATCTTGTGGAGTTTATTTTCCTTATAGCATCTGTGTTTTATAATGGTGCTTTTAATTTGTTTTTTCTTTGTCTGCTGGGATTTCTTTTGTCCGGCACTTTCAGACCTCCCTTTTTTCTTTCCATTTTTTTCCAGGGAAGCGAGTCTGTGAATGACGACTGGCCAGGGAATAGGCCCGTCAAGGCCGACGTGACAGGCTGCTCCCCATGCGGAACAACAAAGCCCATTGTTGTTTTCTTTCTTCTCTTTTATCCTCAACTTAATCCATTTTTTCCTATGAGCATTTGTGGAACAAAATGTCTGGAAAAATGCGGCTCAGGGTTTGACCAGCTAGTATGGCAGTGTTTGTGTTAAGGATCTTCAGCCAACAGGACCGAGAGAGGACCCATGGGGCTGGAGGTTATTCTTGCTTATACATACATTTCTTTAGGAGTGTCAGTATATACTGTCCCCACGTGGCAAGGTGACAGGAGTCCAGGGTTCCTCAGTCCGCAGAAAGGGTTTGTTTCTGGAGGATTTGCACTTGGCCGTATTTGTTGCATGTCCTTTGACAGGGAATCAACAGCTGCACGAACGTAGACGTGATGTTGATGCTCTGACTGGGTCCGTYCTGCTCTTCTGGCCTGATCCTGCAGTCTCTTGCACACAGAGCTCCCCTCTAGTGCAGGAGGAGCTGCCCTCACACCTGCAAGGGTTGGAGGAAGGATGGAGGCTTCTTGCCGAGTTTCTGGAGGGAAGTAGCACACCATAAAATATTTTAAATCGCTAATTTTAAATAAGTAGCATTGTTGTTGAAATAATAGATTAGTAGGCAATAGTTATTTAATCCTGTGGCTTTCTGAGTAGGCTTAACTCAGAATAATGCAGAAACTCGTCCTCTTGTAGGAGGGATGTCTGCAAATATCTTCCCTTTCTGCATACAAATATTCTGTTGAAGAACTAAAAAAACTTTTGCATATGGAAAACAATGTGTTGTTGAGAGTGGAGTAATTAAATTTGCTGAGAGGAAGCAACCCGGTACAGGACAATCATTTGCTTCAGTGATTCATAGTTAGTCGTTATATTCCTAAGAAGTAAAAGAAAAGAAACTAGAATTTCCAGCCCCTCCTGCAGCTCCCCCAGCCTGTCTGCTGGGCTGCTGCGGTTGCTCCCAGTGAGTGGAGGAGAGCACAACGTGTTCAGAGCAGCTTTGGTTTCATGCAACATAATTAGACAATAATGCAGAAAACTCTTCGTGTTGCTTTCGACAAGAGCCAGGGATGTGTTAGGAAACTAATCTTAAAAAATTAATTGCATCTCAGACTTAATCTTAAAAAATGAGGCCTTTTTTTTTCCTTCTTCCTGCTTCTTTTTATTCCGAGTTGGTGCAGGAAAATTGCTATTAATGAAATCTGTTCTCTGAGACTTCAATAGACTTGTTGTTCATTAAAGCCTTGCTGTTTCTCTTAAAATGTATTGACCAATGTTGAGGCCAGATACTTAACACAAAATCCTCTTTGTARTTTCATCATTTTTGCTATTGTGCTTTTCTAAGATGCAGCGGTCCCTGTACTTTGTAGAAAAACAAATAAAACCCCAAAGCTTACAGTTATATAGTATTAAAAGAAGGGTAAAGGAAGCATTGAGTGTCTTTAGGATGATGAGACATTCATTAAGATTTTTCCGCCTTCCTTTTCCTATTTTCAATCCATCTGAAGCACCATTAAAGCTTTTCAGCCAGCTTCCTGTGAGAAACCCTTTGCTGTGCTGTTTTTCTTCCTTGAGAAAAGGTGGCTGCTCTTCAGGGAGATTGTATGGATTTGGCCTGGGATTTGTATAATATCTGTGCAGAATGCAGCAGTTGTTTAGGAACCTAATTCCCAATATGGTCCCTTTTGATTACGAACAAAGCCAGCGTTTCACAGCATTATAGGAACACAGAAAAACAAGTTAATGATCTAAACCTTTTAATTCACGGTTGCTTGTCTATTTAAAGTACTTTTGATTCTGTTATAAACAGACTGGCCCCTTTTTTTGTTTAACTCCTTTCTTTGGGTTCTTCACATTTCTTTCTCTCCTGTCCATGAAATTTGGAGCTCGTTTCCTTTTCTAACTGAAGAATGAAAGGTTGTGACTACAGAATGATACAGAAAGTAAGAAAGCGTATCTAAACTGGGCATGTATCCAGCACGGAGCTCTTTGAAACAAGCTCTATTTAGAGTTGTTAGGATTTTTTTGTTATGTTTTCCCCTTCCTCCTTTTGATTACCTGCATTTCGTTTGTTGTATTCCTTTTTTTGAATATAAATGTCGTTACTTTTTTCAATACTTGCTTGATTTTTTTTTAAAGCTTCTGCCCTGGCTTTGCTCTCTGCAGATGCTTGTAGTATTTTTCTGCTTTCTTAGTCCAGCTGATTGCTGTTCTCTGTGCTTGTATCCATAAAGGCAACAAGAGCAACTTTTTCAGGACTTTCAATTATGATCACAGTAGGGAAATAGTTGCCTTTTTTTTTTTAAATAGAGAATTTGAATCTAGGATTTGTTGTTTTGGACTGAAAAGAATACTCGGTCAAATGACAGTAGCATAAATAATCCCCTTTGCCTAGAGGGAAACCTTAACCCCATAAATAAGCGTATGTGTATGTATCTGCTTCTGTTGTATTTCTATACGTATATTTTTACCTGAATTTGAGATGACTCTCTTTGTTTTGTTTGTTTGGAATAGGAGCTTGTTATTCCTTTTTCTAAGAAATGATGCATAGAGGGGAAAAAAAAATATCTGGTAACTCATTTCATTGCATCTTTGTGCCACGCAGGTAAGCTGAACAGCCAGGACACTTACAATAACTTCACCAACAACAACCCCGGGAACCCTCGGCTCCTGCCTCTTCCGAGCTTGACAGTGGTGTTGCCCCTTGCTCAAATCAAGCAGCCAATGACATTAGGGACCATCACCAAGCGCACAGGGTAAGTGTCTCCACGCAAACCTTTCCTAACGCTGTTATTTATGATTTACAATGAAATAATTCACTGCTAGTAATACTTATTCTTTCTTTCCTTCTGGTACATACATTTAAATGGCAACAGAATAGAGAGGAGAAAAGGTGTCTGTGGGGGAAACTAGCAAAGAAAATCAGCATCCAATAAGCAAACAAACCGTGAAAAGCAAAATCTGTCCAAGAATTCAGGAGTGTTTGCTTGGATGGGTTATTTTCTTGCAATCTACCATGCGGGAAATCCTGTACACTGACATCAGGAGAAGTTTCACACCACAAATTGGTATGATGCATAAACAGACCTGCCTTCTGTAAAATAAGTTATGAAAAGTTTTTAGCTTACAGATAGGAAAAAAAGTGTTTATTTTGATTTCCAAACTTTTCAACCAGAAATGTTTTTTGGCAATCATAAATAGAGAGAGAACCAGAATGAACATAAAGAGGAAACTTGATTCCAATGTTTTCTTGACATTATTTATCCATTTAAGTGACTGCTCGGTACCTTATAATTTCTCAGAAGATTTTGAGAGTTTTATAAACTGAAAAGTTTTTTAAATTGATACATACATTTCCAATGGTTGATATTTTTGTCTTGCTTATCTCAAATCTATTCTTTTTTATTTCTGTTTTTTTTTTTTCATTTTGTACATAAAGCTGGTAATTGATCTTTGTCTTCTCTCTCTTTTTGGTAGACTTTAAAAACCCTGAACTTTTTTTTTGAAGTTTTAAAGACTGATTCATTTTGTGTGTTACAGATTGATGTTTCTGTATTCATTTAAAAAAAAAAAGTTTGAATTCTGTTTGTACAAAATAGTTGAGATTGCTACAATTTGTATTTATTCCCCTTGATTTTAGCAAGCGGAGTAGGCAGTGTCTTGCTTCATTAGTTTCTTGATTAAATGCCAGCAACTAGGTGAATTTTACTGTTTTCTGACCCAGGAGTTATTTTTCAGGAAGGAACTCAGGGTTATTCCCTCTCTTCAGAATTACTCCATATTCTTCAATTAAGTGTTTAGACACTGTGTAAAATGTGTTTTTTATTGCTTGTTCATCAGTGTAAGTATGCACAGTGAAATTCTAAAGCTTACATGTATGTATGTATATGTATGCCTATATATGTATTTATCTAACAATCCTGCCCTGCTCTCGCTGCTGTAAACAGGAATTTCCCTAGGCTTGCAGAAACAAATTCTGAACTAAACATAKAATTGCTTTAAGCATGGAGACCTTCTTCCCAAATTTCAGAGATATTGTAAATAGGACTTAGGAAACAGTGAAGAAACAGGACCAGGGTTATACTGTGGTTTGCTTTTTGCATGCATACATTTCAAGTGCTTATGTTGGGAATTTTTTCCTGCTTACACTTAATCCCAGGCAAGGAAAATGGATTGTGTTTAGTAGTCAGAAGGGGTAGAGCAGGTGTGATCTGGGGTGAGGACAGGAAGGCAGCAAAGATCAGAAAAAGATTGATGTGTGTGGAAATGAGCAGAAAGACACAGTTCTGGAAAGAAGAATATATACATATATATGTATACATATACATATATGTGTGTGTGTGTATATATATGTATATAAAAAAAAAAAAGGGAAGGAAGTACTGAAGGGTAAAAATGTCACAGTCGGCCAAGAACAGAAACGTGACTGAATTGTACTGGTAGCTTGCCAAAATTGGAGTAGATGATTAGAATTAGAGAGCAAGAGATGTAGGTGAAGAAATAAAAAGATGTTTGAGRGTCTGTGGGAGGAAGAGGGTGGCCTGATGGGGAAATGGTGAGTGAGACACGTTCTAAAATAAATGAAAAAAAATCACCCATTGATGCAGTTAATTACAAGGGTCATCAATACTGCTGCCTTTAGGAAGACCATCTCGTTAGTGGAAATACTATGGTGATACTACCATTTTTTTTACAACTATTTTAAATGTAATAAATTGTGCTTCATATATTCTAATCTTAAAAATCTGGAGTATATTCAAATGGTTCATAATTTTCCTTAAGTAAACTTTACCCTGTGTGAAGTGTTCTTGTCCAGTTATTTTGTATAATTCTTAAATTGCTTAGAGTCAAAATATTCAGTAAAGCTTATATAGAGCAAAAACATCCCCAAAACAACAGAAAAAAAAAAAAAAAAGGAAAAAAAAAAAAAAGAAAAAAATAAAAACAGGTCTGGGAAATACCCGCTGTGTAAATTGAGTTTTCATGAATGAGGGTCATAATTGTCAGCAAAGGCTGTGTGAACGTGTAATGCAAAACTGAGAGATCCCTTCCCTTGTTCTGCGTCCAAAATATTTGATGAAAGTACACAAAATTAACATGAAAAGCTGCATTTCCAAAGCAGGGATTTGGGAGGAATGCCTTGGATCCGGGAAGCCTGGCATGCCCAGAATGACCGCATTGAGACAGCAGCCTTGACTGAAAGCTCCAGGGGGCAAAGCGTGTGTTTAACATATTTAACATCTGCCCTCATATTTCTAGAAACACATAGCGATGCAAGGCTGCGCGCTGGAACATTTACCCAGGACAGGGACCATCTGCCTCTCTCGGAGGAGGTAGGAGGCGTGGATTACTGCAAATGGCAACAGACAGATGTATTTACACCTCCGTGGTCAGCACCTTTAAGCACTGCTCCGAGGAAACAAGGCTCCTCTTTGGAAGCAGCTGCTTAACCTTGTGCTCGTGCAGCGAGCGGAGCAGGCGCTCGCGGTTGCAGCTCGCAGGCTCCTTCGCTGCTGCTTCTAGAGAGTTGCAGGCGTGATGTGCGGCCGGGGAGAGCTCGGCACGCAGGAATGGGCGCTCAGTGGCCCTGTGTCTGCCCCTTGGGCTGCTTGGAGCCCTGGAAGGGCTGCTTCACCCTGCAGGTTCTTAACTGCCTTTTACAGCTTTCATAAAGCAAAAAGATGCTCTTTGAGCTTACATCGAAGAGAACAACAGTTTTTGTGCAAGGGGTTGATGAGCGCTCCTCTGAGAAGCTTACTTGTAAGGCACATCGTGAGCAGGGGAGTAGGCAGTTTTTAAAAATGACTCCTGGTAGCCCTGTGGAATTGACAGAGCAGGATCTGGAGCTGTGTCTGTACAGCACCTTCCTCGCAGTCAGCCTGTGGGTTTCGGAGCAGTTTGGATCCCTCCTCAAACCCTTCCTGTTAATGCAAGTTCTCTCTCACTCCGCGCTGCGGAGCGTTGCTTGCTCGCTTGCCCATCTCTGTTGTTTCCTTGTTTCTTGCTATGTTTCTTCATTGCTTTTTCCAAGCTCTTGCAGTGATTTCCCCACCTTCATGCAGCACTTCCCTTTCGTTCCCATATTTTGTCATCAYGTTGACTCCTTTCCTGTAGTTTGTACTGTCAGCACAATCTGAAGAACAGATAGCCCTTCCCAAAGGGGCTCTAAGACTAATGAGGAAGGAAGCATCTTATGTTTTAAAGATTAGGGGGATGTAAGAGAGTAAAAACTAGTTTTAATAACTCTTTGTACATCTGTGCCTCAGTTTCCCTCTCACTTTTAATAGCAGTGCTGACTTCCTTCTCTGCTGAATGGATTAATTCATTGCTCTTTTACAAAGAGCTTATAGATTTGAGAGAACTGTATCATCCATCTCATGCTTGTCTATAAAAGACAGTGGGCTAGAATATGTTAGAGGGCAGCTTTGTGCCTTGCAGTAGCTTTTGTAACCATGCCTTGTGTTTATGGAAGGAGCTGCAGTTAGTGTCCGGTTGGAACAAAKGTAGGAACTTAGACGGGCTGTAAAAGGAAGGAGGAGAGAGAAAAATAGGAGATAAAAGAGCTGCTAGAAAGGAAAAACTCTTGTAAAAGTTGGCTTCGCTGATCGTGGCATTGAACTTCTCGAGGGCTGGTCATTGTATTTATATCRTACTTCACTTCCAAATTCATGATAGCTCTAGTGAAACAGCTCCTGTTTCCTTCATTACTAGCACCTTGTTAAAACAGATGCCCACCAATGCACCTTACAGAGCAGGAGCAAGTCTTGTCTTTTCCATTCTTCATCTCATTCTCCTTTTTGTTTTTTTGTTCCCTACCCCTATAAAGAAATGGAAAAATAGGTAAAGACTCTGTTGAATCAGGATGAGATTTTATCATTTTACTCTTTCTCGTTGTTTCTATGAAACATACTGAAAATCACTGATGGCCATTTGATATATTTTGACTCGGAAGAGATGTATTTATCCCAGGTGTTATTACTGAGGCAAGCAAAAATAAGGAGAGCGAAATCGTGATGTTGTGGTTCAATTAAGTAGGTGACAATAGTGGAAAAGGAGAAAAAAATAAAACCAAAGCCAAAGAATTCAGAAAAATAGGTCAATTTGCTTGCGCTTTGGAGCTGGATATGCTGTTTTAGGCACATTTCACAAAAATACTTGTCATTATCTTAGGCATCTATGCTAAATTCTGGTAATAAAGTGACTACCCAAATGATTTATAATTGTTAGAAATAATTTGCACTGCAGTAGTCAATGCAGTGATTTTCGGATGCCTTTTTTTTTTTTTTTTTTTTTATGGAAGGATTCTTACTTCAGATTGCAACCCGACAGCAATGAGGGTTAGGGTGAATGAGGATATTGCACACTTCATTAGGAGTTTAGAATTGCATGTTTTTATTAAGCATGCTAACAAAATTGAAGAAGTTTTGAATTTGAGAAAACTTGATCAGATACCACATTAAGTGAAAGTAAATATTCTGTGGAATGATTCTTTTGAACCAGACACTGTCCTCATTTAGTCAATTTTCTTTTCAATTCCTGACTAGCTTATGGAGAACCTCAGTGAGTTTTTTTGCCTTGGCATGGCTGCATTCCTGTCACTGAATATATAGCCATCTGGTGCTGTCTTTTTG